GAAAGAGCGAAGGCATAACGTGGGGAGACTTTGGGTGAGGCGACCAGACGGAATCGTAAATCACAACAGTGCCGCACTATAGCGTATGGTACAGCAGCATAGCTTCCCGTGTTGAGGTGAACGCAGCTAGAGCCTCTGCAACACGAGGCAGGTAGGTGGAGGGGTCTCGTCGCGAGGAATCTTTTACAGGGCGATCACGGGCGAAGAAGAAGAGTCGTAGAACCTGCTGAGGAGGGGAATCTGCGTTTCGCTCGACGAGAGCGCGACGACGTTAAGGATCTGAGATTCAAGATTCGAGCGGAGCGCAATTCGAATCTCGAAAGCGGATTCAGATTGTCCTCTTGCGACATATGTGTCCGTCCATAGCTTGGTACTGGAGCTCGAGGAAAAGCCGCTCGCTCTCTAGTGTCCATTTCTCCTCCGCTCGTTCTTTTCTTCCTTTTCTCTAAAATTGAAGAAGGGGAAGAAGGGCATAGCAGTCTAGTGTCCATTCGGCTTAGCCATCGCTCCGCCGCTCGCTCTCGGCTCCACGTTTCCCTGTGTGAGCTTCTCGTGGAAGCAACTTGCTTCCTTCCATCGACCGACGAAGGAAGGTCCCGGGCAGAAGAAGAAGAAGAAGAAGAACCATGCACGGGTGAGTGTGCACTCGAGAACCTTACCCCCTGTTGCTACAAGCTCATGCACACAAAAGCACGCGCGCGTGTCCATGCATACCAACACGCGCACGCACGCAGACACAGACACACACACACACACACACACACACGCACACACACACACACACACACACGCACACACACACACACACACACACACACACACACACACACACACACACACACAGGCACACACATCCCTTCCTCCTCCCCCCCGCCCCCTTCCCCCCTCAACTCGGTCTTTTGAGCGCAGTTTCGTGACGCGAGGGTAGCGCTTGCTTTCGAGCCAGAATCTTGTTCCTCGTTTTCGTTTCCTTCGGTTGCGCCCGATTTCCGTCTCTCGTGAATCACCAGAATCTTGTTGCTCGTTCTCGTTTCCTGTGGGCTGCCCCCGATTTCCGTTTCTCGTGAGTCGAAAACGGACGAATCTACATGCTCACTCGCACGTTTATGTGGTCGAATGGGCGAAAACACTCACATTGTGAGTGCTTGTGTGTGTGTGTGTGTGTGTGTGTGTGTGTGTGACACTGTTTGTGTGTTTGTGTGTGTGTGTCTGTTCCCTTTAGGGGTGTTTAGTACACTGCTTACTTCAATGCTGAAGCGATGTGGATGTGATATAAAGTGGGCCTATTTTCGCTGCTTTAGAGTCGATTGTAGAATGCGAATGGAATGGCTAGGAGGGACTGTCATCTTTTGAAGTAGTGATGCAGCGTCGAAAATGCAGGAGGACAAAGTAATAGGACTTTTCATACGTGTGTAGAGCCGCAATTGCGACCAGATTCGGAAATTATAGCCCAAGTGTGAACATCCTGTCATTCGTCAGGGAGTCAGGAGGAATGGGAGGGCTTTCTGACGTTGACCAGTGGAGCCAGGAAGGACCTGGTGCAGGCAGGACGATTAACGGATAGCGGGGGACTCTTGAGATGTGGGGAAAGGGAGGGCCTCCCGCATCGAGTTGCCCGTGCCAGCAGAGTTACCAAACGATCTGATAAATGAATGGATATTCCCGAGATGGGTAGATAGGTGCAGGCACGAGAAGAGCAGCGGTTGGCATGCAAATGTAAAAGCGGCACATTTGTTTTCAGAATTGACTCTAGTGAAAGAACGTAATCGGAAAGGGATAACAATGATAACGTCGCTGATGTTGGTCGGATCTTGGCTGTCCTATATCTGATTAATGCTCATGCTGTTATACCAAATTCGGTGATTGCAAATTGGTTCAGGTTGATGACGAAATCCAAACAGTCGATGTTGCTGCAGAGTGTCGTGCCGGCAGCTGCTATGAAGTGCAAAATGGCAAGGGCACCTGTAAAGAGGAAGATATCATGGGAACTGGAGCAGGTGGAGGCCGTTGTCCCGACGTCGATGGCCGTGCGAGCTGACATGTGTCCATCCAGCACAAAGAAGGCTAGATGCACAGGCGAAGAGAATATGCCGGGTTGGATTGCCAGATCCCCACATCGACTCCCAGGTCAGTCACCGTTGATCGGGCGGCGGGAAGTGGTGGAAATGGCACGGAGGGAATCAGTTCTCGGAAAACCACTTTCGTCAATAATGTCGATGGCCAGCGGTCATTCTGAGTGCTGGACGAGAGCTGAGAATGTACCCTCTTGTGGGAAGGAGGGAGAGGCAGAGAATGAAGGCGAGGGCATTTTAAGAGAGAGAGCCAATAGAGTAGCAGCTGGGGGTCTTCTGAGAGCGAATAGCTGTGCTGGGACCAGCCTGCTTGGAGTGTGGGCTGGCCTTGAAAATGCTGGCGTGAACGGCTGGACGGAAGCGGAGTCCACTCGCAAGAGATTCAAGACTGTGGATGGAATAGCGGCTGCACCGGCAGCGGTCACAGTAAGGATCAGTGTTCAGGGACACGGAGCGGGAATGGAAAAGTTGCGAGGGGAGATGACTGCAGCTAAAGCGGGCTTGCTCAAAACGCTTTCTCTTGCCAAAAACGTTGAATGTGACCATAAAATCCAGCGTCGCCTCATGGAAAAGGAGTCGGACCAGCTCCGCAAGAGCGTTTTCAAGCACCGCTCGACGGTGAGTACCCCTTCATTATAGAGTGCGTGTGTGTGTCTGTGGGGAGAGAGAGAGAGAGAGAGAGAGAGAGAGAGAGAGAGAGAGAGAGAGAGAGAGAGAGAGAGAGAGAGAGAGAGAGAGAGAGAGAGAGAG